CTTGAACCTGGTGCCCTCTGTTTCTCAATCATGGTCTTAGACCATCCCACTATGCCTGCCTGAGATAAGACAAAGACTGATTTATTTACAACAAGCATGTGCATGTGTTATGATGCAAAGGACTCTGCAGTGAGAGAGGCTGTGCGGATGGAGACAATGTGGAGAGGGACAATGCTGTGACAATCACTATACCGTAGAGTGCTGGGGCTAAGGTGAAGAGCGGTAACAAGTCATTCAGACTGACCTGCAATGCACTGCTACATATAGTACTCCAGAAGGAGGATTTCACTAAAAATTATTTCCTGGCGGAGAAAGTGTGTGTGTGTGTGTGTGCGCGCTCGCGAGGGTGTGAAGCTTGAGAGCTTATTTTACTCTCATTACTACTAGTACGTTGCGACTAAGCACATGCCAATCTCCTGTTCTGCCATTGATTTTCTTGTTGATCAGTGAAATGCGCTTTCGACCCAGCTACACCACTCAATCAGCCAATTTACCAAGAACCGAAGTGTTTCTTCTGGGCTGAGACCTTAGTGGCCCGAAGCTTGGGTGTGCTATCATCTACTGAAGTCCTCAGTTCTACAACCGGTAAGTTTGTTCAAGACATATTTGGTGGAGTTCGCTAAAATGTTTGTTTGTTTGTTTGTATACTTTATTTGAATTCGCAAATCCAAACGAGCACAAATGCTCAATGACAAGGCAGCGAATATGTTACAGGGAAGGAGGTTTGGGGAGAAAATAAGGAGAAAAAAAGAGAGAATGGTAGATATCTCAATGAAGAGCGAAGCGTTATCAAACTACAAGTAAGCCAGCGAACGATAAGTGTGCTAGTATACTCCCGCCCTTGTTTGTACTCAGCCAGTTGTTAATAGTTCTTTGATTAGACTTTGAAGGAGAGGCAAAAAGAGAGGACATGAGGTTTACAAGTTACCCATGTTTGTCCAACACTACAGATTATAAGCAGGATGCTGGTGAGTTCGAACATGCCACAATTGGCATTAGAAATTAGCACGGTCAGAGTTGGGCAAAAGGGATATCTTGTAAACCTATGGTCCTTGTTTTTTTTTAATATTTAAGACCGCCACAAGGACTCATGACCATGTACCCTCTCTAGCGGCCACAAGGACTCATGACCATGTACCCTCTCTAGCGGCCACAAGGACTCATGACCATGTACCCTCTCTAGCGGCCACAAGGACTCATGACCATGTACCCTCTCTAGCGGCCACAAGGACTCATGACCATGTACCCTCTCTAGCGGCCACAAGGACTCATGACCATGTACCCTCTCTAGCGGCCACAAGGACTCATGACCATGTACCCTCTCTAGCGGCCACAAGGACTCATGACCATGTACTCTCTCTAGCGGCCACAAGGACTCATGACCATGTACCCTCTCTAGCGGCCACAAGGACTCATGACCATGTACCCTCTCTAGCGGCCACAAGGACTCATGACCATGTACTCTCTCTAGCGGCCACAAGGACTCATGACCATGTACCCTCTCTAGCGGCCACAAGGACTCATGACCATGTACCCTCTCTAGCGGCCACAAGGACTCATGACCATGTACCCTCTCTAGCGGCCACAAGGACTCATGACCATGTACCCTCTCTAGCGGCCACAAGGACTCATGACCATGTACCCTCTCTAGCGGCCACAAGGACTCATGACCATGTACCCTCTCTAGCGGCCACAAGGACTCATGACCATGTACCCTCTCTAGCGGCCACAAGGACTCATGACCATGTACCCTCTCTAGCGGCCACAAGGACTCATGACCATGTACCCTCTCTAGCGGCCACAAGGACTCATGACCATGTACCCTCTCTAGCGGCCACAAGGACTCATGACCATGTACCCTCTCTAGCGGCCACAAGGACTCATGACCATGTACCCTCTCTAGCGGCCACAAGGACTCATGACCATGTACCCTCTCTAGCGGCCACAAGGACTCATGACCATGTACCCTCTCTAGCGGCCACAAGGACTCATGACCATGTACCCTCTCTAGCGGCCACAAGGACTCATGACCATGTACCCTCTCTAGCGGCCACAAGGACTCATGACCATGTACCCTCTCTAGCGGCCACAAGGACTCATGACCATGTACCCTCTCTAGCGGCCACAAGGACTCATGACCATGTACCCTCTCTAGCGGCCACAAGGACTCATGACCATGTACCCTCTCTAGCGGCCAGCGATGCTCTACCGCTAATCTATGGTGTAATCGTCATCGTACCATTTTCTTCAAGCAAATTACTAGTTCTAATCTAAACAGGTTCCCTGGAAATAAAGAATGTTATTAACCCAAAGAATGTTAGCAACTATTAACCCAATGGATAGAGCGAGCTGCCTACTCAATACAAACAGCAGAAGCACAAAGTTTGGCAGTAGAATGCAAAAGTTTCCAGTACAATGCAAAATTCCAGTTGATATCCAGCCCTGCCCTAGCTCCCCCGCGCGTGCGCGTCTCTTACTTTTCAGTTCCCCTTTCATTCTTCTTCTTTCTCCCCTCTAGCTGTATTACCGCCATGGCTGGCTATCGCCCACATCACCTTTTCATTGGCTAGTGCCACCTCATTGTGAATAAATAAAGAACATGGAAATTGTGGGCAGAAGTTATGCAATCGAGTCCACCAACCAGGTTTTGAACAGTTAGACGTGCACACTCTAGCACAAAACTGACGGAGTTTATCAATATTGTCTACGGTAGTGTCCTCGCAATGGTGATGGTTGTGTGCAGGAGGGTCTAGTCGGCTGAAGAGCGCAGTGTGGTGGTGGAGGTGACTCAACATTTACAACACACGGAGGTTAAAATATTAATATCCAAAGGAAACGTAGCAGTAAAAACAACACCAACACTGCCATGACACGTGCAGACCAACCACCGCACCAGGGATTGCTAAAACAACCTGTACTGCCTGCAGTTTTTCAACCATGCAATACTAATATACTGTGTTATACTACTACTTGGTAGCGTCTAGCAATTTCAAATTTGGACTTCACGGTGAATTTCAAAGTGTTAGGAAATTAGAGGCCACATGCCACATACTGCTCTTTTCTCTCTGAAACTCAACACTTGCAAGCCAGTACCGACTTGTGGACTCTACTCGATATCTATTTTTACTTTGAGTTTGAGCTTCAGGTGCTTCTTTGCAAAGCAAGGAGCCCTTACAAACCTCTCCAGACGGGTGCAGCTCTCGAGATTGCTTCCCGCTCTCTTCACCTCCGAAATGGAGAACAGGCGGGTCTACGGACAGATGTAGATCTGTTCAAGTGGATTCACGCTGAACGCATGCGAAAAATATGCGCTGGTGGCAGAGAAGAGAAGCTTGGCCCTTCTTCAGAAATAGGACAGTGATAAAGATATAAGATTAGAACTAAATGAATAGAGCGAGCTGTCCACTCGGTACAATTTCTGAAGAAGGGCCGAGGAATCCTGCAGCTTCATTTGTGGTCCAATATACGTGTGATTGTGTGTGTTTGTGTGTGCATGTGTGTGTGTGTGTGTGTGTGCATGTGTGTGCATGTGTGTGTCTGTGTGTGTCTGTGTGTGTGTTTGTGTGTGTGTGTGCATGTGTGTGTCTGTGTGTGTTCTTCTGCTACGGGAACAGGTAAATGTAAAGGTGGGGCTTTGGCTTACGACGGAACATGTCATTGCCCTCCCGGGCAAACGGTTAATAATGGCGAGTGCTCAAATCCACAGACTGGTGAGAGACTTACACAGCCTGAAGCTGCTGACAAAAACATGTTGTCTATTTTGTCGAATATGTGGCAGCTTGTCTACACCGATCCAAGACCGGGAAAGACAAAGCTTCAACCGATCCATGTCCTTCAACCGATCCACGGTTTGTGAAAGAAAAGCTTCGGTTTGGAAGCATGCACATTGAGACGAAGCTGACTCTCGTAACTACAGGTTACTGAGCAAGTATGCATGTTGCTATAGCAACCGTCGCAGCATCAACTAGAACTGTGTTTTATGGATGACGTCATTACTCTATAAACAAGTTGGTTTTTCTATGACTATAGGGGCAATGAAAAGGATGAACTGCACACATATTCTAAACACACATCAGGGCTAAGTTGTTGAGTTAGTTCCAAGACTGTTTCCCTCTGATAGTCAATGAGTTGGAAAGTGAGTTAGTTCCAAGACTGTTTTCCTCTGATAGTCAATGAGTTGCAAAGGCATCACATTGTTCTCGGCACTAACCCACCAACTTGGCCTTGAAGTTGATGTCGGCAACTTTGCCTTGACAGGGGTTTAGAATGAGTGCCCAGTTTATCATTTCATTGCTGTAATGAAAACGAGTCCTGTTATTGTTGCTAGGCTCCCTTTTCATTTTGCTTTCCCACTCTCACACACGCACTCTCTCTCTCTCTCTCTCTCTCTCTCTCTCTCTCTCTCTCTCTTTCTCTCTCTCTTTCTCTCTCTCTCTCTCTTTCTCTCTTTCTCTCTTTCTCTCTTTCTCTCTTTCTCTCTTTCTCTCTTTCTTTCTCTCTCTCTCTCTCTCTCTCTCTCTCTCTCTCTCTCTCTCTAGAATTGGTTTTGTCGTTAGGTCTCTCCATGCGGCACTGCTCTCTCTCTCTCTCTCTCTCTCTCTCTCTCTCTCTCTCTCTCTCTCTCTCTCTCTCTCTCTCTCTCTCTCTCTCTCTCTCTCTCTCTCTCTCTCTCTCTCTCTCTCTCTCTCTCTCTCTCTCTCCCTCTCTCTCTCTCCCTCTCTCTTAGGAAATCGGTAATGACAAACATATTTGTGTGCTTTTCTGTGTTCTTTCCCTTTCATCAGACATTAGAATCGATGCATCCACTTGCAAGGTTCCTGGTTACCGCAACACCACAAGAAACGCACTCGGCACTGTCACGGAGGACCTGTGTTGCTGGAAACTTCCTATTTTTCGCGCACCCCTCTGCGATAGCGGTAAGATTCAATTTCAGCTGTTGTCATTATTTTATTATTTGTTTACACTAGCTTTCGTAAAGGAAGACATTTGAGTGGCAAACTGGGAGAAATGCGTAATGAGATACAGGTACTCTAAAACTGTAAAAACTGATTTGATATGGAAGCCAGCCAACTCGCAAAAGTGATGTTGCTGTTGTCGCTGGCATGACTGTCATTGCAGGTGGCAGTCACACACACACACACACACACACACACACACACACTGATTTCTCCTGCGTGCCACCAATGCTGGCTGACTGACTTGTGCACAATTTGTACAGAATACCCACACAACGCTATCATCGGAACTGTGGCCAGCAAAGCAGGGTGTCACCAAGAGTGACATTTATAGATTTTATACCGTCTTGGTGCTACGTTCACACATACATGCCAGCAGCCAGAGACGCAGCGTGGTTTTTGCGATACTGTGGATTTGTTGACTTGATGACGTCACACCTACATGTTGTAGGATGGCATTGACGTCAACACGAGTCTCTAAAGGCCTACGGGTACTGAAAATTAAGAAACCCTGGCACAAACTTCAGGCTCCTCAACAGCCTGATTTTTACGAGTAAACCTTTGTGCCTCTCAAAGGAAACGTTTTAGGTACATGTATTACAAAAAATTAATATGAATGAAGTTGATTGTTCCAACTAGGAACACACGCTTCTTGCCGAACTTGACACTTGACTGATTCACGACTGCCATCCGGAGCACAGGAGGAGCACGTCGCACCTTCCACTCGGCAAACCTGCAAGAAAGCACCACTCCCTGCTCAAAACACAGTGTTTCGGGGAATTCATCATAATTATTAGAGAGGTTCCGCACTACGTAAACTTTACGTTAGTGGGCGGGAAAACCCGTGAATTCGCGAGTTTGCACTCCATTTACGGAAAGTTCACTACGGAGAGTACGTAGATAGGGCTCCGATAACGTAGCTGGTCCGTAAGTGGATTGGGGTACAAATTTATGACTCCCTCCCCAGGTCGATCTGGTCGTACACTGCCGTGTTCGGAGTTGCCAAGGGCAGCCACGTGATTTGAAAAGTCTGTATGGCGGAACCCAGATGCGCATGCAGTTTCCGTAAGACTTTCCGTAGGTCGACTACGTTTTTTACAAACGTAATTACGTTATGCGGAACCTCTCTATTAACTAAGTTAAAAAAAACGGTACAATGACATCTTTGATCTGAGATGATGAACCAAAATTAAGGCTGCGTTTACATGGAGACGAAAGGAAAAGGAACGGAAACGCAAACGCGCTGCCCTTGAATCATTTTCAAGGCATTTACACGACAGCGGCGAATCATTTTGAACCGTTCAAACACAAACGGACAACAGGTAACCAGGCTGGAGTTACCACGTGCTAGCCCGGCAGAAGGCCGGGAAGTAACACGCTAGCTGGAGTTGGCTAACTCATGAACGCTTTTTGTGCACTTAGTTTGAATATTTCCCGTAGGATACATTCTCGCATGGAATGGTTTCCATGACCGCGTTCAGTTTCCAATTGTTTTCACTGTTTACAAGAACACACTATCGTTTTGAAAATGTTTCAAAACATTTTGAAGTGCATTTCCATTTCATTCAAAGGTGCGTTTTCGTGCGTTGTCGTGCCAATGGTAATAGTAAACGCAACTATTTTGTTCCATTTTGGTCGTCCTTCGTTGTCGTGTACGCACATCTTTATTGCGTAAGCGTAACCTGAGAAAATCGGAAGCTGCTTAGTCAGAGAGAGAGAGAGAGAAACATGAAATAGACACAAGTTGTAGGGCAGGTCTGAGGAGAGGAGAGAAGACCGAACGAATGCAGACTACTGAGAGAAGACAGAATGAGTACAGGCTACAAATAGAAGACAGAACTACGGGTAGAAAACACAATGGTGAACAAAGGAGGGTCAACTGGACAGTAGGGCGTACACATTCATGTATTTGAAAGAGCGGAGTGAAAACAATAATCTCATTAACCCTTTGCTTCTTGAACTCATTGTAGGCAGAGAACTGTTGTACACTACCCTGATTTCACAACGGAGAGGGGAATTTCTTTTTGAGTTGAGTTAGAGTTGAGGTAGCCCTAAGTGTAAATAGAATGCAGTGGAGTATGCAAGCAGTCACAACAAGGCTGCATGAATAGAATGTTCTAGAAGGTAAATAGAATGCAGTGGAGTATGCAAGCAGTCACAACAAGGCTGCATGAATAGAATGTTCTAGAAGGTAAATAGAGAGAGTTGAGGTTGCTCGTGACACTGCTCAACACACCTAGATGCATAGGTTTGTTGCTGTGTTGCTGGGTTGCTGTCTGATGATCTGTTTAAAGCCGTGAAACACAGAGTTACAGCAGAAACGCTTTTAATTCCCGTTGCTATGCAGAAGACGTTACTTCAGTAACGCCTGGCGCTAGCCAGGGTCCACACAGCTTTATTTTGGTGTTTTGTTTGTTTGTGTCACGCCTGGCGCTACCCCGTATCTGTCCCATACCGTACCGTACCAGCAAAGACAGCTGGCCACAATATTTTTGTTTGTTTATACCATCGGCATGCCTGGCGCTATCCCATACCTGTCCCGTACCATCAAGAGTACGGTACCATCACGAGAATGAGCATATATGCGAAGTGTATCGGGGAAATGCATTCAGGCCGATAGTGCAGTAACATTTTGTGTGGATTGGTGTGCGAGGCCGAGATCCCACTAGCAGGCTGGCTGGGCCGCCTGTTGACCAGCCCGGGAATCGCATGTAGGCCGATAGCATAATACTTATAACGTATATAGATGTATAGCAGGAAGTCGTATTATGTAAACGACTCCCTGCTGTATAGGGAGATTTTCTGGAAAGAAATACGAGGGAGACAAGGAAATGCAATTAGAATGGACGTTAGTTGCCGAATAGGTGATAGGATGCGTCAGAAAAAAACATACTTTGGAAGAGAGATCCCGTCGACTCCAGAATGTCGGTGATCGGCAGAGTCAGCGCCGGTCACAGGAAACGTCGGAAGAGAGATCCCGTCGACTCCAGAACATTTATGAACGGCAGAGTCAGCGCCGGTCACAGGAAACGGCAGGACAGCATCCCGTCGACTCCAGATCGCCCATGATGGGCAGAAATGAGACAGGTACAGGATAGCGCAAGGCCGATGGCACAAACAAACGCGGTCAAGCTTCAGCCGCTCTGAACCCCCAGAACTACGTCTCGTTACGGCCTAAATGCTATTTTCATTTTTGGCAGCAGACAGATGGAACATGCTTCCACCTGGATGTCGTCAAGCTAAGCCCCTTTCTGCATTTGTCACAAGCACCAAGTCATTCCTAGGGTTCCCAGTAAAAACACAAGCACCAGTGGTGGGAGTTCCCTAGTAAAATAATAAATTCTACTAATACTACTAAACAAAAATATTGTGGCCAGCTGTTTGTGGCCAGCTGTTTATGGCCAGCTGTTTGTGGCCAGCTGTCTTTGATGGTACGGTACGGGACAAATACTGGATAGCGCCAGGCGTGACACAAAAAAATAAAACATATATATAATTATATATACACCAAAATTTAATCAGTTTTGTTAGTTTTGTTGTCAGTTTTGTTGTCAGTTTTGTGCTTAGTTATTGTACTTTCTGACTGTATATAGTATCCAGTTACAGTGATGGATAGTTACACTTAACTTGTATCCATATGTCCTTTTCCTTTCCACATTTATTTATGGCTCAACATCCGAGTTTTAAAATTTAATATTATTATTATTATTTGCAAATAATCGACGTGGAGACAACAATTTTATAATAGCAATAAAAAGAACAAATTCTGCAGTCATCGCCACACTACAACGAAGTCATGAAAGTTAATTTTCTTGTAACGGAGGACGAGGTTGCGGTTGTTGGAGACGAGGAATCAGATGGTGATTGTGATCGTAAGGAGTCTGCCGTTTTTCTTCACTTGTTGTCTCACCCTAAGTGTCTGCAGGTGTATGATGATTTTAGTTTTTCTGTTCTTTGTCGTGCACGGTATGCTAGTCAGTTGAAAGTACTTGAGGCTGTTTGTATTCGTTTGCATAAGCCTGATCTTTGTAAGCAGAAGAAACATGTAGTTGCGTTAAAATTGTTTTCGTAGGTGCACAGCATGATTGTTTGTCTCACTACACAGTTTTAGCGTTATAATTATTAGTTTTTCACCCACCGTTGCACTTAGCTCTCACTTCACTGCTATTGTCTCACCTTCCCTCTTTCTATTTTGGCACTGTAGTTTGTTCTCGTAACACATCATTGAATGTATATTTAATCATTGTTCAGCATGGTTACTCTTCAGTCACGACTTTCCACTGATGAATGTGACAAGAAAATTAATTCTGGTAAACTTTCATGACTTCGTTGTAGTGTGGCGATGACTGCAGAATTTGTTCTTTTTATTGCTATTATAAAATTATTATTATTATTATTATTATTATTATTACGCAACACCGAAGGATGTACCCAGAGTGCTGACAGTGCTCAACACCATAAAGGCAGAGCGTAATACACAACAGAACAACAAGGACAATCGAGCGGCTTGTTTGCTGCTACTTTAAGTTTTTATTATTATTATTATTAAATTTTTGGTAGGGCAATCCCCACAGGCCTTCTTACAGGGTACCCTAAATGTGCCAATACAAGGTAACAGAAGCGAGAAACAGATGTGCAAAGGCGAATGTCAGCAGATAGAGAATATTAATCCTGTAGCTATGCAACAGACGTTCCTTACAGTATTGTTTGGCGCTAGTCAGGGTCCACACAGCTTTGACACGTTACATGCATGACGAGCAAGCAAAAAAGCATAGCGTAGGGCCCTGAGCTTCCAAGCTCTCTCGTTCCTTCTCTCAGGTGTGTTTAGGATGATTATACAATATTCTTGTGCACATTTCTGTTCATATACAGCTTACTGCCCGGCCGGCAAGGTTCGCACCTATCCAGGTACTTTTTGCGTTTAACAAATGCCCTGAACAGCAGGTGAGATCATCTAACTCGGTATTCTCCACAATATTTACCATGCCTGTATGAGTAATGCGCGTGTGATCACTCTCTCGTTACTTTCGCCAGTTTTCGACTCACATGTACACGTAAAGGTATATGTGTATGTGTAATGTGGCCGTATACCGTTTTTTAAGGTATTTGGACAATTACATATACACGTCCTTTTTCATGTACTTTTTCATTTTATTTATATTTATTTTTCTCCCTCATTACTGACCGCCTCCGAAATACGTGATCTCTAAGCAGTCAATTATCAGCGACCAGATAGAGCGAATTCTCCAGACAAGCTCGCTCTCGACCGAGTGACGCATTGTGTTGCACATATACTTAGCGGGCATCGAAGTTTAGACAATTGCGTGTTTCGTACTTTCAAGTGTCACCGTGGCTGCCAACAAGCATGAGTAAGGATATTGATACTGAATTTTGATTATGAGAGTGGGTGTTCAATAAGTTTCCTGTTCGCTTTTCTATGATGTCTCTCAGGTTGCGAGGAATAAGCAATGCTCTACAGATCATTCTTCTGGACAGACTCGGAGACTTACAAAACAAGGACTTGGTTCCTGATTGACTTCCCCGTTTCGTCTTATGATTAGTAATTCTGCTTAACCTTGAATGTACCATTTCCATCTTTGATAAAAAATATCTATTCTTTTTTTCCATATTTTGTGGGGCCTTCAGTGTCGGTAGACCGAAACTTAGCCCCTGTTGTACTAATAATATTATGTTGTACATGGAAACTTCGCCCCTAGCCCTATTGTAGTAGTACAGTGAGTATGGCCAAGAGTACATAACCCCCAAGAGTGTGCAACTCCAGCTATGGGGGCAGAACTTCGCATCACGTGATGGACCCGTACACATTGTGCACTCTGTGCATGATTGATACAGGGTTGTACGCAGCCCAGCTTTGGGTACAACTCTCTTGTGGTCACTTTGCACTGTTTGTCAGCATAACCTTTTGAACCATGTCACGTGATGGTAAGTTCTGCCCTCGCAGCACAGCATAGAGGTTGTGCAGGCAGTTGCACACTCTTGGGGGTTGTGCACACGCCAGACAGTTTCTTGGGATCGGGAGAGCTTGATTTGACTGAATTTGACTGACGCTGCACAAGAGGTAAATAATTCTTGTTCTTGCTGTGAACTGAAAGAAGACGACGACTAAAGCACAAGGCGCTTGCGCAGAGAGAAAAGCGGCAGGAAAAAACATGGAGGACGTCGCTAAGAGGTGAGTGAGTCAGTAGAAATAATAAACATGCGGCCCAGCTTCGGTGTGGGAACGCGGAAACAAAACCGGGGTAGAGAACACAAACTATGACGTGTACTGCAAATAATCTGATGACGTTGAGCATCATGTCAACGTCGTGACAGGGGTTATGTACTCTTGGTAACGCTTATAAAGTGACCGGGTGTAACGATATACCGGCTATAATCATAGAACTCGTCAAAATCAAATCAGAAAAAAATACAGCTAAAATATCACTATACGTATAGATTATAGACCGGTTAGGAGGTCTATACAGGATATATAGACCGAGTAAAAGACCGAGGTCCCCCGAGGTCTTTTACGAGGTCTATATATCCTGTATAGACCAACTATGAGGTCTATAATCTATTTATCGTGTTCTCCACGCAATAGTTTCTCTTCATATACGACATATCCTTGTAATTCTAGTATTATACTATAGCCTATACTGCATTGTACTGCATTGAAAGTCAAGATCATTGTTTAAACTAGGTTCAGCATCGGTAGCACAGTGGCTGGGTGGTAAGGAAGAGTGACTGAGATTCACAAGGTTGTGGGTTCAAATCTCATCTTGTGTATTTCTGCTTTCTTCAACAATTTCTTTTTCTAAGTTGGAGAGAAAATTTCTAAGTCCAAGAAGTTCTAAGGAGTCAAATATAAGTAGTCAAATATATCATGTATTTGACTAAGCAGTCAAATACGCGATATATTTGACCGCTTAGGTATCAGGGAAATTAGTGGGGTCAAATACTAAGAAGGCAATAAGTATATGTTATCGCATGGTTGCAAGGGCCTTATGGCATATTATTGCCCCGAGAGGTTAGCCCGAGGGCCGTAGGCCCAAGGGCTAACCTCGAGGGGCAATAATATGCCATAAGGCCCGCAGCAACCATGCGATAACAAATTTATCACATGGCCCACAGAGCAGACCATTGGGCTGCTGTTGAAATTAGCCCAAATGCCAACACATTATGACCACAATGTATATTGATGTGCTATCATTATCAAAACAGGAAAAATGAAGATATTTCTCCTACACCCTAACAAAAAGTCTGCTACAGGCCATCAGAGAGTATACAGTACTGAAAGACGGAGACAGAAAAAAAGTGCCGGCACCGCATCGTCATAGCAATAGACATGGCAACGACAATAAAATACAGCAGAATCATAATTTCAGTTGAAAAATTAAGAGTGCTACCACAAAGAGTTTCTTCATGTTTACATGTGTATCAGGAAGTTGTCAAATACAGTACTGCAACAAGTGCAAGTATTTGACGACTCCCTGGTGTGTAATTTTGAGGACAATTTTTCTTCTTTTTTCAGCTCCAGATAGCTGAATTTTTCATTGCAAAACATTCCTGAATTGTTGTGTTTGTTGTTCAAGCAAAGGTGAAGGCAGAGGACAGATGAGCCTGGTAAGAGTTTTGCGTGGCACATGAAGACCACACACAGGCAGTGACTTTGCGAGGATTTGAAAACGCACGACGCTGAGTTGAATTTGTGTTATTTCAAATAATTGTTTGTGATCACAGTACCACTTCGAGCAGAACTGAATCTTATCCACATGCTTACCGACGGTCAGGCTGCCAACATGACTGAACAAATGATCCCTGCAAGCACCACACGGCAGACGTCCGAGGCCATGTCCATTGCTGGGATGTCCATCTCCAAAAAGAATTCCATCTTCGTCTCAATGCTACACTGCGACTCGTGGTAGAGTCGTATACAGTCTACAGAGTCGTCGTAGTCACGCGATCACTGAAATAAACTATTTTTTTGCGGGCAAATAAACTATTATTTTGCGGGCAATATCGCATATTATTGCCCGCGGCGCGAAAGGTGCTGATTCGCTGGAGTACGGGCAACAATCACGTGCCATGTGATAAACACTATTATCGGCTATACCGATATATCGCTTATTGTGATGGGCTTCAGGAAGCAAACCATATCAAATGTACAGGAAAATACATAGCATATACTGATCAAAGTGATGATCACAACAAGTGTTCTTCCAATTAAGTTCACTTCTTCCAGAACTCATCCAGTGTTGCCTAGATGCATCTGGCAGCAGACATGAGTGAGAGAAAACTCTTCCCTGCATGCTGTAAGTGGCCACATGTACACGTGGCTGCTTTTCATGCTTTTTCCAGCGTGTACGCATCATAATTCATTTCATGCACAGTCATGTGCCATGTGTCAGTCATACCAAGAGTACATAACCCCCCCCCCCCCTTAGTGTGCAACGCGTGATCCAGCTCTGCATAGGAGGTTATGTACTCTTGGTCATACATGCAAATCGGCTATAGTGATGTCCCGGATATAGTCATAAATTATCCTGTCCCTTTGGAAAAACGCGGCGAAGAATTCAAAATTCCGCGGGGAAAAGGGGGGTTTTCTGCGGTAAAATCAAAAATCTGCGGCATTTTCTGCAAATTTTTCACCCTCCTCGTAGAGGATATGACAACTAGTCGCATGAAGGAGTACTTTTCATACTATCCTTTGCAGTCACAAACTGAATAAGAGTGAAGAATCATGGAGAGACCTGCACTGGCAAGAGAAATGTGCTCAAGCAGATCGCAAAGTAGTTTTTCTGCTGCTTTCTGAGTAGTAATTTTAGTAATTTTCCCTAAAAAATTCAGATTCCGCGGGCAAAAGTGTGGATTCCGTGATTTCCGCGGATGATGGCAACTTCTGCGAAATTTGCCGCGGCCGCGGAATCGCGTTTTTCCAAGGGGACAGATTATCGAAAATCAAAGGGGCAAGAAGTTGATACTTGGCACGTTTCTCAACTTCCTTTCCAGCAACGCGTGGATCACCAGGTACAGAGTGGTGACCAAGAGGGGACAGTAGATCGTTAGTATGGGGTGCTTCAATGCACATCCCCAAACCGAGAGGTGCGATCTGGAAAGAACAGTGAGACGACCAACATGATAGGCTTCAAAGCCTGCCCAAGACCATGGCTGCTCTGAGTGTTGATGCCTTTTTTTAAGCTGTGAGTGGAGAGTGTTTGGCCGGACGGGGAAAGACGTCCTTGGGGAGGCTGTTCCACAATTCAAGGAAACAGTACGGGAAGGAAGGTCGAAGGTAATCGGGACTGGTGCCGGGGGTGGAGTTTAAGAGATGTTCCCGGTGCTGGCGCTGAGCATAATGCTGCTGGCAGATTCGAACAGTATCGGCCCGTGGTTTGGGGAAGGGCGTATGCGTGTCAGACAGGGTGGGCCCTTGCAGTTAACTACCTTGTAAATATAGGACAGCCCTGCGACTGTCCGTCTGGCCCGCAGACTCTCGAGGACGGTGGTGGGTCCAATCATCTGCATGGCCTTGCGCTGTGCTGTGCCCAACTTCCCAAGGTGGGCCTGGGCAGCACCAAGCCAGGCTAGTGGGGCATAAGTGAGTGCAAACTCCCGAATTCACGGGTTTGCCCCGCCCACTAACGTAAAGTTACAAGTAGTGCGGAACCTCTCTTAGGGCCTGGTCACACTGCGGCAAAATCGAAATAATCCTTGGATTATAATCCGAATCTCCATAGTAACTTGCCGCCAGAGCGGCAAAAGCGGGAGCGGACGCTCCAAAAAAAAAAGCAAGACCGGACCACGCTTTTCCGCTCCAAACAGGATTTGACGCTGATACGCCATTGACGCTGATAATCACTGATTTTTTCATCTCGATATCGAGGAGCTAATTGGCCACGGACAACAACAAAACTCATAAGGATGGTTGCAAGGATTGCACTGAAGGTGTTGGCGATCCCCAAGGTGAAGGAATTTGACGTCATTCGTGGAGATTACCACTTGACGCTCGAGATGAAGTTTGAATTTTCATTCTCCCCACATGTGTAGTGTGACCGCGATTCTAATTCTGGATGCTGTTCTTTTTTCGTCAGGCAACCCAAAATTTGCCGCAGTCTGACCAGGCCCTTATATCAGGCCGTCGGTGCTCAATGAAGCAATCGCACCGGATGGTGAAATCCCACAGAATCTTGATCTTCTGGTCCTGCGGAGAGATGTTGGCGTCTGAAGTATCTCTAGCTTCAGGCACGTTATTCTCGGGTGCAGGATGCTCTTGTGCCGTTGCATGGTCTTGGTATGCTCAAGCACCGGATCACAGTGGTGCTTGTAGTACTTGTCTTCACATGGTATCCCATGTACACGACAGAGCGATCAGTGGACCAAAGACGCCAGCTAATTATGACGCTCCAAATAATCCTGTCCAGCGAGTTTCGAACACTCGCAAAGGATAAGGGCAACCGACTCGCCCGCCTTCCCAAACATTGGACACAGGGCCGGGGCTTCCGCCCTGATACATGATTTGGGCCTTGAGCAGGTTAATTACCAAGGCATTGGCTTGTGCCGCGATCATCAGGCTCTCTGTGGTCTTCTTGAGACCAGCCTGTGTCAGCCAACTCCAGGTGTTCTCGTTGGTCAGTTTTTCTGTTTGCCGGACAAACTGTCCATGCAAGGGTTTCTGGATCAACGCCAAGAGGTGTTCTTTTTGAAG